TGCACTGGTTGACCTATATCTGATCTTGTTTATCAGTGGGAAGAGTCAATAGATGTCAGGGCAATAACTATGCTTCCCATTTAAAAGTAGACTCATATTGATGCAATGCAAGAAAAATAAGAGTGCTTTGGGGCAACCAGCAATTACCCATGTGAACATAATATTCAACGTTTATTCTTAATGCACGCCTGGATTTTTAGCAAAGAATGATGCTGAAATCAGAGTAGCACGTTTTCACAGGGCAGACCTTATCATATTTAATTAATTAGTCTAACACATAAACATATGGACTTATTAATTAGGATTTTGGCAACAAATGACCCTTAGACTTTCCTGAGTTTTGGAAGTTCATTGACAAAGTATTTAATGTGTAATTAAAGTAGTAGTATTACCTTAATGTTTTTCTATAAAGATGTTTTAAAACTATATAATACTGCACCTTAAAGGGACACTTTAGGCACCCAGACCACTTCAGCTCATTGAAGTGGTCCTGGTGCAGTATCCCAGGTCCCTTCGCCCTTATCCGTTAGTTTTTAATAAACTGCAATAATTTGTAGGGCTAACTTAATCTCTAGTGAGTGTCTACCAGACAGCCACTAAAAGGGCTTCCAGGTCATTAGGTGACCTCACATTACTGATGCTGGACGTGCATGAGCATATCCAGCGTAACCCAAAATCCCATAGGAAAGCATTATACAATTGCCGCAAATGTGCATTAGGTTGTCCCCTCCGGCTCACGTTGGTGGGGGAGTAGCGGAGGCAGAGCCTGAACCAGCACCGAGAGACATTGGTGCTGGAATCAGGTAAGTGACAAAATAGGTTTTTAACCCCTCCTGAGCTACAGGGAAGGGGCCACAACGTTTGTCATTGAGAGTGAGTATGGGTCAGCTATAGTGGATGGAATATACATATATATATATATATATATATATGTTTGTATATATGTATGTATATATATATATATTACAGAGAGGAGTAAGAAAATCAGTGGGGGTAGAAAGGCATTAAGGTGGGTAGGAGATAGAAGGGAGCAAAGAAGATAAGATACATTAAAGGGGGGAAAGACATTCAGAAGGGGGATAAAAAACACAAGGGGTTAAGATGCCTCAAAAGGTTGGATAAAGACTCAAAAGCATGTAAGGAATATGCAGAAAGAAAAAAGAAAACCAAAAAGGAGGGAAGATGCACAACTTAGGCAAAAGTATTGGTAAGTTAGGCAAAAAGAGGGTAATAGACACACAGGTGTAGATGAAATTTAGGGGTGGCAAAATTAGTCTTTAGTGTAGACGAACATATTTGCACTGGCCCTACCTAGTGAGCAATATATTCTTGTCAATATTTGGAACCTGTGGCAAACCTAGCCACTTAAGACTATTGCTTGTGTGGATATTAGAAGGTTTGCTGGCTGTGAGAACCAAGTGTAATGTAGTATGGAGCGTTCAAGCGAACAAGAGCATTCGTATGCTTGTAATACGTGAAACCCAGCATTGTCTATGCAGTTTCACGAACAGTGAGTTTAAACACTGTTCGTGAAACGAATGACCTACCGAACGGTCGACCACACACAGGGGGTTGTGTGGCGCCCATTAACTGATTGCAACATTGTTGCAATCGGTAGTTAAAGACTTCCCTAGGTGGCCGTCGTTCGGCTACCGACCACGCGGTGGTCGGCCATCTTGATTCCTTTGTTAGCCCAGCGGGGTTTTGCCGTCGAGCGCCTGGAACTAAAAACGGCTACTCGACGGCGTGAACCCCGCTGGACTTCCAGGCCGTTCGGGAGTCCCGGCCATTCAGTAATTTGTTCCCCTAATATCAATCGATATTTTAACCGTATGTTGGAAATAATGTGTATTTCGTACGGCGTTCGGTTAGTTAGACTGGGAGCTGAGCGGTATTTCCACAAACTATGCGCTCAGCCTCCAGCTATCTACCGAACACCCATTCGTGTAAAACAAGTGAATGTTGTTAAAGTTATGGATTTTTATGTAAAATGTAAGTTCTGCTGCACGGAGGGATAATCCCATTAACTGTATATTCCAGTGAGAGCATCCCTCTCATCCAGCAGTGCATGATGGGAGAAATGTATGTGTTTGGCAGTTCCCCATGTAGTCCCCTACTGTACAACCCCTGTAATGTCAGTAGGGAAACCCTTTGCATGGGGAATCCCATAAATACAGTGTCCTGTGAATAAAACCTTGACTCCCAGCCTATGTGTCGTCTAGTTCTTGGGAAGGAAGGATTACTACAACTCTACCAGGATTATTGTATGCTGTATTTATTCCCCTGGATTATTTTATGCTGTTCCTGTTACCCAGCGGAGATATTGTGGATTATACTGCCTCTCCGCTACAGAACCATTCCAATTCCTTACAGTGCAAAAAAAATAAAATAAATAAACATGAACTAGATTTACCTAGTTAATAGCATTTCATTCATGTACATTTTTTTTTTTTTTTACATTACAAATATAATGCAAATTGTCCAGCTTCTGTAACAGAGCAGAGAAAATTATATCCCCGAGTACTGTTACAGAGAACAAGTTCTAGGACATATCACTGTACGGCAAGAAGTAGTTGCAGGAAAAAAAATATAAGCTACTGGCAAGTGGTTTATTTTAGAGGGTTAAGATATGCAAAGTGATTTGCTTCTGTTTTGCAACACAGCTTTAAAATGTAAATTATTCATCAAAACTGACTGTTCTAAATTGGTATAAAAAAAAAAAGCATTTTCTTATATCTCACAACAAACTGTTGGAAATAAGAATCCTTCAGGGAATTAGAGGTTACATTATCCCATTGCCTTTTGTAGATAATGAGATGCTGTTTGCCAGTAGGTTTCCTACAAGGATCTTTCATCTGGATTTCAAAATAGAATAATTTTGAAAATAGTTTCATTAGTATTGCCAGGAGGTTATATGCTACCGGACAGTTAAGGATGCATATTTATTTTGATAACTTTTTCGCCACTAGATGTGCCTGGAACACACTGTTCTATAGTTTGTTCTATATACCCTTCTAGCAGTTGATTCAATCAGTTTGCTCATTGCACAGTTTAGTTCTCCTTACATAACATTGATCATTGCTTGTTTTGCAAAATAAAAGCATTATTAACAGACTAGTGTCTCTGCTTGAGTTCCACGAAGCATCAGTAGCATGTAACAGTTTGATCTATTTAGACATTTATGAACAAATGTCATAATTTAGTTAATGATATGGTAGTGCATAGATTTGTATCCAGAATTCTGTGTATTTCAGAGTGCACATTTGTTAGAGTGTATTGAAAATATAAATGTTATGTAAGATATAAACAGCATGGTCACTAATTTAGTAATTTTCTCTTGTTGTTTTTTTTTTTTATAAATATTTTTTATTTAACTCCTTCAATACCCAAATCAAGTATACTTTTTTATTTTTATGTAATTTGTACAATGAAATCTAGTCCATAAAGCCTCAATCATTCTAATTTATGCTCTAGTTACGATTAACAGCCTACAGAGGAAAACATTAATCTTCTAGAAGCCACTAGTCACTGATGCCTGTAATATTTGCTGAATTTGTCAGCATATCCCAGTCGAACAGTAAACAAAACTTTAATGGGTGATATCATTCCTACAGTCATGGAGGAGGAGGGGGGAATTTCACTGTCAGCATGATATGTGAGTAGTCCATAGATTGCTATAGCAGGTTTAAAAATACCTTTATTTTAGAAATGTTATAACTGTGCACACATTATGCTCAAATGCACATATTATTTTACATTCTGTTGGCATTTTCAATAAGCTGTACTGCTTGTAATGCCTTTAGAGATCTTGCAAATACTTATAAGCAGCATATTTGACTATTTTTATTTAACCATTTTTGTCTTGTCTACTGTATGAGAAAAACGTTTTCTTTTTTATTTTATACTAACATTATGTGAAATGTTGGAAGATAAAGGACCATGTATACTGTATGAAGCTTTCAATTTCCCAAATATATTTACAAATGTTGAACAAATAAAAAAAAATATATTTTTTAGATGTGTCTGCAAAGCAATATAAACACAAAATTGCTGTGTTGTGATATGTTTATATGCTAGTTATGCATCCCTTTCATCACGTATATGATGCTAATATTTTTTTATTTTTTTTTATGAAAAAGTGCTTGGTAGTGGGTAATTTTCTGAGTGGAAAAATAGCCAAACTTCATCTATGTCCACGATATATGTAAGTGACCCCAAATACACAGACCCTAATCTACAACAGAGAGTACTATAATCCGTATTACCGTACCTTAGAATGGCCGAGCTTAATGCAAGAATGGTAATAGAGAGACAGCCAAGGTCAAGAATAAGAGAAATTAGAGTAAAGGGTAAACAATCTAAAATTCTGGGGTACAAAGAACAGAATAAACGGTAATCAAAACAAGGTCAGTACCAGGGAATCAGAAATATCACAATGCCACTATTGGGTTAAGCAAGAAACAGAATGATTTGGACAAGAAAGGCCAACATTTAAAAACCAGAGACGATGTTAATGCAGTGGAGTCAAAAGGTCTTAATGCACCCCAGAATGCATTTTGAGATGTTTGATGCCTGCACATGATGTCAGATTTTGTGAATGTACATCACCTCTACATTTCCTGCAAGATTTTGGCAGGTAAGCTTTGTTTAAAGATGGCCGCTCCAAAAAGCAAGACTAAGCTGGAGGAGTCACTGAAAAAGAAATATTTATTTATATTATGCTTTACAAAATATTACAGTGGAAAAAGTTCAGCACAGTTCCAATCTCAGTAAAATGATCCTTTGTTTATGGTGTCAAGTGGACCTGTATTCTCATTATCTGGTATTTAATACAAAATATTACACATAGAGGTTATGAAACATGTAATTTTTATTTTATATAATAACAAATAATGACAATCTTTTTTTAAATGTATATACAACTTCCATGTAACTTATATTGAATAAATATGACATGGATTTAATGTGTTCAATTATAACTATAAATATAAAGAAATGGTGCCTGGTACGTCATAACTACCATGTATCTTACCTCCAGCTAAACTTGCTAAAATGGTTATTTTTACACAGTTGTAAATATATATGTCCTAGCTTTCTCAATTTGTCATCATCTTTTTTTAGTATTCCAAAAGTTTCAGGCATTTCTTGGCAGCAGTTACACATAGTACTAACAAAACCGGTTATAGCACAATCACGCATAAATATACAATGCTTTTGTATCTGCTGTCTGCTACCTCGGTGCATAGCAATCAGAATGCAAATAATTGTGTTTGATACTGTTCTAAAAATACATAGCAATTTACATCTGCACCTGCCAAGTGTACATACATATATTTCTTCACTCTGCATGTCTTGAGAATGCAAATTTGGCATAACAATTCTATTGCAATATTTCCATAGTGTAACTGAAGTAGAAAAGGCAAAAGTTGTGTTTTTATGATTTGTTGACCCATTTTGTTATTTCACAGTTATGTTGTAAGCCTTAGCACTGCAACTCAGTGGTGACTTGTACAAATGGGCACTTAGAAATAGAGTCCAACCAGATTATAGTTACTATTAAAACAAATAGCTGGCTTCCTTTTTTATGAGATTATGATTTTCACTTTATGCAACACATTGCAAGGTTAAATATGTAGTGTAACAAACAATTGAAATAACTGATGAGTTCCCTTTTGCTGTATGACAATGATGTGATCCATCTACTGCACTTCATTCCTGGAAGCTATTGAAGGTTCTTGATAGCATTAGTGTTGATCTAAATATGTTTATTGTACTAGGCACAATTCAGTCTAAGCCATGCTATTACACTAATCAGCCACAACTGGCAGCTGAAGTAAATAACATTGATTATATAGTTACAATGTCACCTGTCAAGGGGTGGAATATATTGGGGCACAAGTGAACAGTCAGCTCTTGAATTTTATGTGTTGGAAGCAGGTAAAATGGGCAAGCGAAAAGATCTGAGTGACGTTGACAAAGGTCAAATAGTGATTGCTAGACGACTGGGTCAGAGCATCTCCAAAATGGCAAGTATTGTGAGGTGTTTCTGGTATGTAGTGGTTAGTACCTACCAAAAATGGTTTAAGGAAGAACATCTGGTGAACCAATGTGAGGGTCATGGGCGCCAAAGTCTCACTGATGCACATGTGGAGCGAAGGCTAGCCTGACTGGTCCAATCACACAGAAAAGCTACTGTAGCTCAAATTGCTAAAATACCTAATGCTGGCGATGATAGAAAGTTGTTAGAATACACAGTGCATTGCAGTTTGCTGCGTAGTTGCAGACTGGTCAAAGTGCACATGATGACACCTGAGGAAGAGATGGCAGCAGGAGGCCCTATGGGAAGAAACCACGTGGGGCAGTATCATGCTCTGAGCAATGTTCTGCTGGTAAAAGTTGGGTCCTTGCATTCATGTGGATGTTACTTTGGCACATGCCCAGGCTGTATTTACCACAAGGCAAACAAGGAATTTGTTTTTTCATGTCCTAGGGCTGTCCACCTTAGGGCCCCCACGAGGTGAAAATATTCTAGCTGGGTGGCAAGGAAGCACTGTCCTCCGCTCTTTTTGCTCTCTCATGTGCCCTTCTGTGATGCTGATAGCCGGAATATGATGTGGCCCCGGCATCACTAAGCAGGGCGCGAGCTGTCAGTGTGTGTCTGTGAGTTAGTGAAAGTGTGTGTGTGTCTGTCAGAGTGTGTCAAATCAGTGAGGATGTGTATGTCAGTGAGTGGGTGTGTCAGTGAAAGTGTGTGTTGGTTAAACAGTGTGTGTGCCAATGACTGTATCTGTCAGTTTATGTATCAATGCGGGCCTGTGTCTGTCAGTCAAAAAAGTACCCTTGACATGAATTGGGGGGGCAAATTTAGATTTGGGGGGTGCCCGAATTTAGTCGTGCCTAGTGCAACACAAATCCAAAATACACCACTGCACGTGCCACCAACTTAGGGATTGTTGCAGACAACGTAAACTCCTTCATGGCAATCATGTTCCCTGATGGCAGTGATCTCTTTCAGCAGGCTAGTGCTCCCTGCAACACTGCAAAAATTGCTCAGGAATGGTTTGAGGAGCATGACAAAGGTGTTGCATTGGCTCCAAATTCTGATTGAAGATCTGTTGGATGTGCTGAATCAACAAATCCAACCCATGGTGGGATTTAAAGGTTTAATATAAATTACAGTTTGCTTTGCATAAAATCCCAAAACTGGATTAGAACCAGAGCTATGTTGGTTTTAGTCAATGAAGCCTTGGCCAAAAGGATTTAGGCTGGATCTGTTTTGATGGGAGAGTACATTATGGTCATAGATAATAGCTATGTCATTGGTAGTACTATATATATGCAGATATCTAAATTACCATTGTTCCATTGGGATGGAACAGATATAATTATTTTGGACTATGAAACCAAGGAAGTCTTTGCGATTATGTCACAGAGACCACAGCCTCAGGGCAGCAGACAGCAGAGGTACTGCACAGCCGGAGGGGAGATAAAAGAACTTTGTCATCTGCCAGCCCATTCTCCTCTTGTGGGGCCAGTGATGGGAGATCTTCTTGGCCAGAGTAGAGGCTCTACTCCCTCACTGGCTGTGATACTGCTAAACAGCCAATAACCCCCACTACCAATCCCGTACCCTCACTATAACACCTATACCCCATTATAGCCACTATCACACCCACTACAGCTACTATCATCCCTACTGCAGCTCTGATCCTCCATTACAGCCACTATTCTCCCCTGTTGCCACTATCCCCCACTACAGTCCCTATCCCTCTACTTTAGCCACTATCCCCCAATGCAGCCCATATCCTTTCTACCATAGTTAATATCCACCAATTATAGACCATATCCCTTATTCTACATCCACTATCCCCTATATACAGACCCTTTTTCCCAAACTGCTTTTCTCCCCTTCAACACACACACACACACACACACACACACCAGCCTCTATCAACCCCAAACACTCACTTCAGCCCTACCTTCTACACATTTACACTACAACTTCCCCCCCCCCCCATACACATACACTACAGACCCAATTTCACTGCATGCAATCTGCAGCCCCAATTTTATTCCCAAGCACACTAAGGCTTATATCCCCCAACGCACCCTTCTGCTCCTATCCCCCCAAATATACCCTACTGCCTCCATTCCGCATACACACTCTACAGCCTCTATTTACATGCATACACACATACTACACTACAAAAAGACCTACTGGCACACAAAACCCCACAACATCCTTTCTCCCACACATGCAATCTTACAGACATCAATACCTCCACCATGCAATCACACAAGCAGCTTCCGTCCGTACACACAGTCCCACAGCATCCCTATGTCAGGGGTCCGCGGGCGGCTGTGAGGGGAGGCTGCACGCCACTTGCAGCACTCGCCCTCTGTCCGTCGCCGCGCCTCCTACCTGTCGGCGAGCGGCGTCTCCTCTCCGCCACTCGCATCCTCCACGCCTCCCAGCAGTATCATGTATAATGCTGCACGCTGGGAGGTTGCTAATTTATGCAAACGCCGGGGTCACTCACGTGACCCGGCATTAAAGCAACAGTACCACAATCACAGTGGGAGGCGTAGATATCTCCCACGTGTGATTGTTAATTCTGATTGGAAGTTATCCAATCGGAATTAAGCAAAAGGTATTTATACTTACCTTTCTGTCTCTCAGTGCCCTGTTGTGGTCTTGTGATACCTGTATTGCAGTTTGCTCATGTTTCTCTCTGGTTACTGATTATTTGGCTCGTTATTCCTGTGGCGAAACCAACCTCGCCACTGTGAACTGGAGAAGCCTGGTTGCTCGCCTGCTCCCTTTGGACTATGGCCCTGCAGGTTAAACCATTTATTTTCCCTGCAGAAAGGCTTATTCGTGTGATCTGAGTGCCATTCATCTAATAAGGTGCGCTCAGATCAAAGCTATCTGGGGATGTGTAGAAATGTGTGTTTTATGTACTAAATGTATCAGTATGTAATTTTATGTCTTTTACTGTCTTTTTGTCTGCCATGTGGGTAATGGAGTTTTGCCTCTGTCCTGGGAGATAATTAGATTCCTTCCCCAATTATCTCCAGGCCAGAGGGGAGGGATTGTGAGGCATTGTGGGAGGTAACTCATGTGTGATTGGTGTATTGTGTAATTGTTGTAAATCCCTCCCTTGCATGGGAGAATCCTTTATAAGCCTGTTGTGTGAATAAATCAGGGTGTTCCTGTTTAACCCTCCAAGTGAAGTGTCGTCTCATTCTTGGGGGGAATTTGACTGTATGCCAGGAGTGTAAGCTGTTCTTAGGGCTTTTCCTGTTCGGCTGCTTCCAGGGTTCGTGTGTTTCCTGTTCGGGAATTGGGGATTCGTACAGTTTGGAGTTCGGGAGATTGGTGATTGCAGTAGCTGCTGGTCTATGGGAAAGGGGATTATCGCCTAAACGGTTTTTATCCTCTTGTGAGAGAAACGGTCCGTTACAATTGGTGGCAAGCGACGGGATCATTCCCACAGCCCAGAAGGACAGCTACAAGGTAACACCATCCCCTGGACTTACAAATGGAGGGCAGCAGGGCAAGCATGGCACCCAGCTACACTCAGGAGCAGTATGACAGAGAATTTACCACGCGGATGGCTTTCTTTGGACCCAACCCCCCGGAGAGATGCGTGCAGTTCGTAAGGAGCCAGGTAGACGAGTACCTGCAGTTCATGGCAGATCCAGCCAAAGGTATCGGCCGCCCTATCCGGTGGCAGAGTGCGTTACGGGGACTCAAAAGGGTACCCCAGGGAGCTGAAGGTGTCGTCCTTCCTCCCTAGCGGCAGTGTGTATCCCAGGGAGATGAAGGTGTCGTCCTTCCTCCCCAGCGGCAGTGTGTGTCCCAGGGAGCTGAAGGTGCCGTCCTTCCTCCCCAGCGGCATTGTGTGTCCCAGGGAGCTGAAGGTGTCGTCCTTCCTCCCCAGCAGCAGTGTGTGTCCCAGGGAGCAGAAGGTGCAGTCCTTCCTCCCCAGCGGCAGTGTGTATCCCAGGGAGCTGAAGGTGCCGTCCTTCCTCCCCAGCGGCAGTGTGTGTCCCAGGGAGCTGAAGGTGCCGTCCTTCCTCCCCAGCGGCAGTGTGTGTCCCAGGGAGCAGAAGGTGCAGTCCTTCCTCCCCAGCGGCAGTGTGTACCCCAGGGAGCTGAAGGTGTTGTCCTTCCTCCCCAGCGGCTGTGTGTACCCCAGGGAGCTGAAGGTGCCGTCCTTCCTCCCCAGCGGCAGTGTATATCCCAGGGAGCAGAAGGTGTAGTCCTTCCTCCCCAGCGGCAGTGTGTACCCCAGGGAGCTGAAGGTGTTGTCCTTCCTCCCCAGCGGCAGAATGTCCTGCAGGGAGCAGGGACTGTCAGTCTTGCCCCCCAGCCGCAGGACAAGATAATGAAAGGGGAGACAGCTGGTCCCCCTCTCCACCAGCAGAGAGAGTGTCAGGGAGAGGAGCCTGATACCCCCTCTCCCCAGCAGCAGTTTACAGTCCAGAGAGAGGAGCTTGTTACACCCTCTCTCCAGCGGCAGCCTAACCCACCAAGGGGAGATGTTACACCCCCCAACGGTGCAGATGGGACCGTAGTCTCTGTACTTGCAGCACAAGGGGTAAGGACGGTCTGTCCTGTCCCCCAGCCACAGATCGGTATATCCAGGGGGGAGACAGTCGGTCTCTCCCTCCCTCAACCAGGCTCCAACCAGGCTACTTCCGCGGTAGTACTGGCACCAGGGCAGAGTACCGCTAGTCTCTGCCCACTCAGCAACCCACCAAGGCAGCCTAACAGTTCCCCACACAGTCGTAGTGAGGCACCTGAACATGGACAAAGCTCTCCTCTACCCAGGTGTAGTAACCAGTTATTGTGGGTGGGCTGTACTGCTGTTTCTGTTTTGTGGGTGGGTTGCTGGACTAAACAGGGCACTGACCGGCAGGAGGTCAGATACCCTGTTAGTCTAGTTGGTAAAGGGGAGAAGTGTGGCGAAACCAACCTCGCCACTGTGAACTGGAGAAGCCTGGTTGCTCGCCTGCTCCCTTTGGACTATGGCCCTGCAGGTTAAACCATTTATTTTCCCTGCAGAAAGGCTTATTCGTGTGATCTGAGTGCCATTCATCTAATAATGTGCGCTCAGATCAAAGCTATCTGGGGATGTGTAGAAATGTGTGTTTTATGTACTAAATGTATCAGTATGTAATTTTATGTCTTTTACTGTCTTTTTGTCTGCCATGTGGGTAATGGAGTTTTGCCTCTGTCCTGGGAGATAATTAGATTCCTTCCCCAATTATCTCCAGGCCAGAGGGGAGGGATTGTGAGGCATTGTGGGAGGTAACTCATGTGTGATTGGTGTATTGTGTAATTGTTGTAAATCCCTCCCTTGCATGGGAGAATCCTTTATAAGCCTGTTGTGTGAATAAATCAGGGTGTTCCTGTTTAACCCTCCAAGTGAAGTGTCGTCTCATTCTTGGGGGGAATTTGACTGTATGCCAGGAGTGTAAGCTGTTCTTAGGGCTTTTCCTGTTCGGCTGCTTCCAGGGTTCGTGTGTTTCCTGTTCGGGAATTGGGGATTCGTACAGTTTGGAGTTCGGGAGATTGGTGATTGCAGTAGCTGCTGGTCTATGGGAAAGGGGATTATCGCCTAAACGGTCCGTTACAATTCCGATTATCCTGTCTTCTCCACTCCTTTGACCTCGGCTTGTTTCACGTTCTCCCGTTTTCTGGCTCCCTTTACTTGGCTTGTCTCCTGACCATTCTTAGCGTGCTTAGCCCGGCCACTCTAAGGACCGGTATAGCATCTTTCCTCTCTGTGTCCTGTTAGCGTGTTAGGTTCCAGAATCATGACACCCTACACAAGAACACAACCCCTCAATTAGCATCTTCAGAGACAAGCAACACCACAATTAGTAGTCATAAATGCAACACATTAAGCAGCCATCTACACACACACAATCCTACAAGCAGCATCCCCACAAACAAACACCACCAGCAGAATATCTACAAATATGGAACATCACAAGCAGCTTCCCTCACAAAAACAACAAAACAAGCAGCCTCAACACTCATAAACAGACCTCCCCCAACACATATCATTAAACCACCCACCTAGTTACATTCACCATTCAATCATACCCCAAATTAGTTACATTAACACATCCTATTGAATACCCCAAACTTTGTATGGGGTGGGGGGAGGTGCTTTGAGGAAACTTGGGGCAGCAAGGAGGGTAAGTCTGGCCCTAATCAAACCACATACATTACTTATTCTACACCAAGACTAATGTGAAGGTGACCTGTTATTTTCTAGCAAATAAGGAATTTCATTTAAAAACCTTTGCATTATTGACTTTTTTAGGTGCATTTACTACTTTAAAACCCAATTGTAAATAAGAGTATAATAAAAAAAAAAAAAGTATATTCTGTCTTTAAAGGACCAGTCCAGTCTTTAAAACAACTTCACCTACACGGATGACTCAGGGCACATTCTTACAATCTGAGATTAAACAGTATATATAGTTTAAAAGTACAGGTGGTCCTCACTTTGTGACCTACGTGTTTTGCGACGGCTTACACTTACGACCAACACTCTAGCGTGGGGATTCAAGGTTAGAGAGCTGGTCTTTGTTGAGGGGATTTCCTGCTTTGGTGCGTAGGTCTGTGTTCAGGGAAAATTCTCTGCTCTGGTGCGTATGTCTATGTTTGGGGAAATTTCCCCGACCACAGACAAGTGCACCAGAGAGGGGAATTCATCTAATCTATGTTCGGGGAACTGTCCCCAAACATAGATTTGAGGGATTCCCTGCTCTGCTGTGCCTGTCTATGTTCGGGGAGCAGGGAATCCCTCTAATCTATGTTCAGGGAAAATCCCCTGAACATTGACCTGCACTGGTGCTCATGTGCCTCACTTACCGACCAATTAGTTTTACGAGCGGATAGTAAGAACGGAACCTGGTCGGTAAGTAAAGAGCATCTGTATAATAATATAATCTATTAAATAAGTATTAATACCACACTCGGACACAATAATTGTGTCTAATAAAGAAGAAAATTATTTATATTATGAAATCTACAAAATTTATTCAGTGTATATTTTTTGAAAAAGTAAGTAAGCACCAAAGCCAAATGAAAATAATTAATTGCTATACAGAATTGTGCAAGAACATGGTAGATGACATTTGATATAATGTATGAACCTGACAGAATTCATCTATTGTACACAGCTCCTATATACATATCCACAATGATCTAACTGATACAAAATCAGTCCGGTGGGTCCACCAAGTCTAGATGTGCTGTATGGTCGCTGGTGTCAGGATTACTAGTTGGTCCAACTCGTATAATTATATCACACCTAGGACTAAAAGGTAGTGTCCTTCTTAGAATGGCCAGATTTAACGTACCAAAGAATAGTCAGAATACTTGCAGAGTTCAGGGACGCAGAATGGTACACAACGATAAGGTTTACCAGAATACAGGTTTGCCAATTATTACAGAAGATTTATCAAAGGGTTCTCTTCTGTGATAGCCCCCTTGCATGTCATATTGGTGAAGGTGGCTATCACAGAAGAGAACCCTTTGATAAATCTTCTGTAATAATTGGCAAACCCAATAAACCTTTGAATGGCTTTTAGTCCATTGGGTAGTGGCCAATGAATTACAGCTTCAAGTTTATGAGGGTCCATCTGAATCCCAGAGGCAGAAATGTTATACCCCAAAAACTGTACTTCTGTCTGATCGACGATGCATTTTTCCAATTTACAATAAAGTTGATTTTTCAGTAAGGTTTACAACACTTGTTTGATATGTTCGTGGTGAGTCCGAAGGTCAGGGGAATAAATAAGGATATCATCCAGATAGACTAGGACAAATGAATAAATATAATCCCTGAGTACATCATTAATAAAGTCCTGGAACATAGCAGAGGCATTACACAACCTGAAGGGCATCACAAGGTACTCATAGTGCCCACTTCTGGTATTAAATGCCGTTTTCCACTGATGGTGTTCCTTAATCCTTACTAAATTGTACGCACTCCTAAGGTCAAGTTTAGTAAAGACTTTAGCACTCTGGAGTCTGTCAAACAATTCGGAAATGAGGGGAATGGGATAGGCATTTTTAATGGTGATTTTGTTCAATGCCCTGTAGTCAATGCATGGACGTAATTCACCATCTTTTTTAGACCCAAAAAAGAATCCTGCACCAGCAGGCGAGGATGATTTACGTATATGGCCCTTACTTAGGGAGTGTTTGATATACTCCATTATTCTACTCTCCTGTGGAGATAAAGCATATACTGCTCCATTAGGTGGCATAGTGCCGGGTAGCAGGTTTATGGAACAGTCATATGTTCTGTGAGGAGGTAGAATATTGGTCTTAGTTTTGCTGAATACCTCCTTAACCTCCCAGGATTGTATGGGAACAGAGGTTTGAGGCATAGTAGTGGATAATGTAATGATGCCCACTCTCTTGGTAATATGTAACATACACCTCTCAGTACAATCCTTGCCCCATTCCAAAATTTCCCTGTTAGCCCAGTCAATATGAGGATTGTGCTTAGTAAGCCAAGGAAAGCCTAATATTATAGGGCAAGAAGGAGAAGCAATAACCTGAAATGTTATGTGTTCCTTGTGTAAGGCACCAATGGAAATTTTAATGGGCAAGGTTTCGTCGGTAATTAAGGGTTGAGAGAGCGGTCTCCCATCAATCGCCTCTATGGCCAGAGGTGATAGTCTCTCCTTGATAGGTATAGTATTTTATTTTACAAAATGTACATCATGAAGTTTCCTGCTGCACCTGAGTCCATCAGGGCCTTGCATGAAAATTTCTTCTTGTTACATTTAATCGTAATATCGAGGAGGCATCTATTCTTGTTATTCCCAGAGGACGTATCCATCACACCTAAGACCTGTCCCCTTAAGGTTCTTAGGTGCGGAAGTATGGAACAAGCACTCCTCATATGTCCTCTTCTACCGCAGCACAGGCATAGCTCTCTTTTCACCAAATTGTCTTTCAGCTTCTGACAGTCTAGTGACCCCCAATTGCACAGGTTCGGGTTCAGACTGAACAGGAGGATAAGGAACAATAAGTCTAGAAAAACAAGGTGCTAGTGACATAGCCATAAGTCTAGTTCTATTTCTGGTAGTTTCTCTGGTTCTTAATCTATTTTCAGTTTGCATGACAAATGTTGTAAACTCATTTAATTTTTTAGGTAGATCTTTGGCAACAATCTTGTCCAGAATTGCTTCAGATAATCCTTTCATAAATGCATATATCAACCCGCTATTAGTCCAGTCTACCTCAGAAGCCAAGGTGCGAAATTCTATGGCATAATCTGAGATAGACCGGTTCCCTTTTTTGATATGCATTAGAGCAATGGAGGCGTCATCCTCCCTGCCTAATGGTTCGAATGTTAATTTAAATTCCGTAAGGAATTCCTGGTAGTTATGTGCAGTACTCCTATTACTCTCCCATAACGGATTGGCCCAAGCTAAGGCTTTACCTTTAACCCCTTAAGGACACATGACATGTGTGACATGTCATGATTCCCTTTTATTCCAGAAGTTTGGCCCTTAAGGGGTTAAGTTGATTCATTTGGTAACCAATCTTAGCTCTATCCAAGGGAAAAGAACCCGGTGAGGCCTCAAAATGAAACTCAAATTGATTCAAGAAGCCCCGGCATTCTTGAATATTACGATCAAAATGAGGGGGAGGAAATAGGGAGATAGTAGGTGCCTTATGTACTATAGGTGGAGGTAAACTAGGCAGAGGTGACACAGTCAGAGAAGTCGCAGGCTGCAGATGCGCTGTTAGAGTAAGAAGCGTACTGAAAGCCTGGGCAAATTGATCCATACGGTGATCATTCTCCTCAAGCCTTCTCTCGCAAGCTGCAATGTGTTGACACACTTCTACAGGATCTATGACCATGTCGTAATGTCAGGATTACTAGTTGATCCAACACGTAGAATTATATCACACATAGGACTAAAAGGTAACGTCTTACCTAGCCTTAGAATGGCCGGACTTAACGTACCAAATAATACAGGTGATACTTGAAAAATTAAAATATCATGCAAAAGTTCATTTATTTCAGTACTGCAATGTAAAAGGGGAAACTAATATAATAGATAGATGCATTACATGCAAAGCAAGATAGTTCAATCAGTGATCTGTCACAAATGCAATGATTATGGCTTACAGCTTATGAAAATCCCAAATCCACAATCACAGTAAATTAGAATATTGTGAAAAGGTGCAATATTCTAGGTTTATAGTGTCTCACTCTAATCAGCTCAGTAAGCCATAACACCTGCAAAGTGTTTCTGAGCCTTTAAATGGTCTCACAGTCTGGTTCAGTAGGAACCACAATCATGGGGAAGACTGCTTACCTGACAATTGTGCAGAAAACCATCATTGACACTCTCCATAAGGAGGGAAAGCCGCAAAAGGTAATTGCCAAGGAAGTTGGATGTTCCCAAAGAGCTTTTTTCAAAGAACAGTAATAGAAAGTTATGTGGAAGGGAAAAGTGTGGAAGAAAAAGGTGCACAAGCAGCAGGGAGAGAATTGTCAGGAAAAGGCCATAAACTTCACAAGGAGTGGACTGAGGCTGGAGACAGTGCATCAAGAGCCACCACACATGGACGGATCCTGGACCTGGGCTTCAGATGTTGTATTCCTCTTGTCAGCCCTCTGCTGAACAACAAACAACGTCAGAAGCGTCTTACCTGGGCTAAAGAAAAACAGACCTGGTCTGTTGCTCAGTGGTCCAAAGTCCTCTTTTCTGATGAGAGCAACTTTTGCATCTCATTTGGAAACCAAGGACCCAGAGTCTAGAGGAAGAATGGAGAGGCCATGGGCGTCCGCAGGAATTTTTCCAGGGGGGGGCATAATTGTAATGACATCCATGCTTGGTACCTTTTTGACAGTGTCATGAAAGGGAAGGGGCATAGCCATTATCACATAAAGCCAGGGTGAAGAGCGTTTTCACAACTATGGTGTCAGAAATATATGTTTGTATTCCTGACACTACAGTGTTCCTTTAAGCAAATTAAAGGACCATTCTGGTCACCATAACAACTTCACCTAAATGAAAATGCTATGATGCCAGGAAGCCCCTGGGTGCTCGCTTTCCTTTAAGGGGTTAAATCGCTCTCAAATGGTTTAACCCCAAAGGCTTCCTCCAGCTCCAGGTCGCTCAGTGGTATTTGGCTTCTGAA